AATGTTATTTACAAATAAAACAACATAGTGTAGTACATTTTATTATAAGAAGAAGCATAAATAACATTAGTATAAATAAACTAATTACTTACAAGTTGTCATATGTTCCATTTCCTTGTAAAATTCAACTTCATCATCCGTGTGGCTATACTTTGCGGTTTGCGGTAACCGCAAGTTTTGAAAATCAAATACCGCAACCGCAAATGCGGTTCGGTTCTTAATACCGCAAATGCGGTTCGGTTTACCGCGATTGCGGTTTCATTGCGGTAAATTGTCGGTTGATTTTTGCGGTTTTTCGGTTTTTCGGTTTAAAATGCCACCCCTAATTACGACCACACACACAAAGAAAAAAAAAGTTTGATGAAAGTGCAACTTGGGCAATAATATTAGCTACTTACCTAAAGGATGAAATACATATGCTTGAAATTATTTGGTTGCAACTATACATGGACAATGCAAGCGGTCATCATTTGGCCTGCGAGCCGAAGTGGGTAGCTGGAGGCTTGATAAATCCTCTAGTCAACTTAGATAAATCCACGTCTGCAGTGCATTATCTCTTTAGTAAAGTGCTTTTGCCCTCCACAACTTCCAACTATTGAAAATGGGGATAGTGATAATGGTGGTTGGAATTTTGAACAAATTGATAATGGGGGATAGTGACCCAACCTCTTATAAGCCTTTATAAAATTGTTCAACTTTCCAATATAAGGTAATTCATATCATCACACGATGCTACATGTGTGGTGAATTGGAGTGGGGAAGGGAGTCTGCTACCAATGGGGTGGATGGCTGGTAGGGATTTAATTGCTTTTGGAAAATAGATCAATTTGAACAAAATCAGCATTTGTTATATAGTTGAATATGAATTGAACTTAAATTTTCTTAGGGTAGTTAGATTTTCAACTTCAAAAAAATAAAATAATAATAATAAAACTAGAATTTTGAGTTTTGTCGTTTGAATAAATATATGATTAATTATATTTCGCAGTGCACTAGTTTGGATGTAACATCCCACATTGACCAACGGAGAGGGGGTGATGTGCCTTATATGTACATGCCCGTCTCCATCTAGCATGAGGCCTTTTGGGAGCTTACTGGTTTCGGAGTCATGGGAACTCCGAAGTTAAGCGAGTTGGGACTAGAGCAATCCCAGGATGGGTGACCCACTGGGAAGTTGCTCGTGAGCTCCCAAAAACAAAAACTGTGAAGGCAGAGAAGGGGGCTCGAAGCGGACAATATCGTGCTACGGTGGAGCCGATCCCGAGATGTGACAATTTGGTATCAGAGCCACTCTGCCGTGTGGTGCGAGTGTGCCGACGAGGACGTCGGACCCCTAAAGGGGATGGATTGTAACATCCCACATCGACTAACGATGAGGGGGTGATGTGCCTTATATGTACATGCCCGCTTCGTCGGACCCCTAAAGGGGATGGATTGTAACATCCCACATCGACTAACGATGAGGGGGTGATGTGCCTTATATGTACATGCCCGCTTCCATCTAGCACGAGGCCTTTTGGGAGCTCATTGGCTTCGGAGTCATGGGAACTCCGAAGTTAAGCGAGTTAGGACTAGAGCAATCCCAGGATGGGGTGACCCACTGGGAAGTTGATCGTGAGCTCCCAGAAACAAAAATCGTGAGGGCAGAGATGGGGGCCCGAAACGGACAATATCGTGCTACGGCGGAGCCGATCCCGGGATGTGACATTGGAGTTCAAATTATCAACTATTATATGCAATTTTGTAGGATAACTTATTCTTATTAACCAAAACTTGCGATTTTAGGTCAACAAAAATGAAAGTTTGAAATGAGTGCATCAATTGGGGTTATTTCCAAGTATATATATGGGAATACCATCCTTGTGTATCCGTATGCAAATGCTTTTCTGTTTCTTTGTCATACACAAGTGCTTAATTTGTACTTTGCAAACAGATTAATTTGGACATGCCTCAAGAATACTAACTTGGCACATTTTGGATGGGCGCATGTTTGAAAATAAGACAACGTGTGCATTACAGTCCCCAGTCTGTTCTCTTAATATCTTGTGCAAATTGTAATCCGAAGACTTGTTAATTCTTCAAGTCCACGGCCAACCCAAAAAGGAACTTAAGTTGTTATCAAAGTCTCTATTAAATTGACTGATGTTGATCAAGAATCTTGAATTTAGAGTAGATGCAGCCAAAAGCTTGACTTGATAAAGTCTTTGATGATCATATGTGTATGTCCCCACTTGTGCAATAGAAGTTCCAATCAGAGATCCACACACCCACACATAACATATCTTTAACTCTCCCTATGTGTGTGTGTATATGTATCATGAACGTGTATATAATAACCCAAGCATCAAACAAACACCTTGATACAATTACCATGATGAAACCAATTCTCAGCACTCATCTCTACTTTTCCTTGTTTCTGCACATGATCGTTGTCACCATATTCGTTGTCGGCGATTCGCCACCCATCTATAAGCCAGTCGAAGATATCACCGTCAATTGTGGCTCTTCCGGCAACATATTCAATGCATATGACAACCGAAGTTGGAGTGGAGATATCAACTCAAAATTTTCACCCCTTGAACCCCAAGCAGTTGGCAACACATCCATATTCAAAGAAGCACCTCATTCGTACAAGGTCCAACAAGTGCCTTACACCACAGCGAGGCTTTCTCACTCTGAATTTACCTACAGATTTTTTAACCTCACCCCCGGCCAAAAGTTCGTCCGTCTGTATTTCTACCCAGCTTCATACCCCGACTATGATCCCTCCAAAGCCCTCCTCTGTCAAAGCCGGTGGTTTTACCCTTCTCCACGACTTCAATGCATCAGTCACTGCTGCTGCTTCTGGGCCGGAGGAGACGGTATACAAAGAATTCTGTATGAACATTAGGGAGGAAGAAAAAGAAGAGAGCTTGAACATCACGTTCAGTCCAAGCAAAGCAATCCCATATGCATATGCGTTTATCAACGGAATTGAAATTGTGTCCATGCCTACTAACCTTTACTACACAGATGGGATTCAATATGTAGGCAGTGAATACACCTACTACATCAAAAACAGCTCTGCTCTTGAGACGATGTATCGAATAAACATTGGTGGAAGCGACGTCTTTTTTTATCAGGACACCGGCATGTACCGAAATTGGGATGATTATTTAAAAGAAGAGAGGTACTTGGAGAAGTTAAGTTTAGGGTGGAGTGTTTTACCACAAAATGTTAGGCCGCGTTCGGTATCGTTTTCACGGCCCGTTTTCTGTTTTCATTTTCTGTTTTCTGGCAAAAACCTGTTCGGTTGGAACGTTTTTGTTTTCCCTAAAAATATTTTCCAAAAACAAATCCAATTCATGAACAAAAGTTGAAAACGAAATTATGTTGTTTTCGTTTTCAACGTTTTCATTTTCAGTCCATACTATAATTCATTTTTTTCATCTCTCTTTCTCCAATCAACATCGATTCTTGTCTTTGAAATTCTCCATAGCTATTCTTCTTCTTCTAAAATCTCTGAGATCGTGATTTACTTATCAAGCACCAGACCCAAAAAAAAAAAAAAAAAAAAATCAACTGAGGAGCACCACTGTGGAAACCCATCTCCCCCGATCCAGACCCATCGTCTAGTTTGCCGCACCGGCACCTCCAAAGCACGATCACCACCAAAGCAATCAAACCATAACTGCCACAAACCCAGTTGAACCACTATCACCACCCAATCGAACCACCACCAACCATTAACAAATGAAAACAGAGAGAGGATGGGTATGAAGAGAGAAGAAGAACAGGAAGAATCAGAGAGAGGAAGAAGAAAATAAAAAATAAGAGAGGAAGATGAAGAGAAAGAATCATATAGAGGAAGAAGAAGAGAAGAGAAAACAGAGAAAAAGGAAGAAAGAAAAAAGAAAGTCTGGGAAGGAATAGAAGAAGAAAAAAGGAAAAGAGAAAGAAAGAGAAAAAAGAAGGGCACGGGCCTGGGAAGGAAGGAAAGGAAGAAAGAGAAAGAGAAAAAAGAAATGAGATAAGATAGTTTGTCTTAAAAAAAACATTAGAATTTTTTATTTGTTAAATTATACATTTTTTTTATTGTTTATAAATTTTTGTCTTCTAAAAATAGCAGATTTTTTTTATTAAAAAAAACTGAAATTAGCAAAAATACAATTGAAAATAAGTCACATATTATTATTTTCAAATTATACTACCAGACACATTTTCATTGTTTTTGTTTTCTGAAGATGTTTTCTAATTAATCTACCAGACGCATTTTCATTTCCTGAAAATGCAAATTTGTTTTCTTGTTTTCATTCTCTGAAAATATTCTCAGAAAACACTATCCGAAAACGTTACCAGACGGGCCCTTAGCATCCAACTCAACTGGGATTTAAGTCAAATACCAGAGTACTCTGCTCCAAAACAAGTTTACCAGACGGCCAGGTCAATGGGCAACAAGATCACCAGGAACCAGCTCTACAACCTCACCTGGATGTTCCCAGTTGATCCCAAGTTTTATTACCTGGTTAGGCTTCATTTCTGTGAGTTCCAACCTGAAATTACTGCAATCGGAGATCGACGGTTTCGAATGTACATAGCCAATATAACAACTGAAGAACGAGCGGACATAATAGAATGGAGTGGTGGAAATGGAATTCCAATATACAAAGACTACTTGGTGTTCATGCCAACTGGAAGCGAGAAGAAAGTCAATCTCTCCATCGCACTGCAAGTAAACCAATGGATGACTGGATACTTAGATGCAATGTTGAACGGGTTTGAAATCTTCAAAATGAATGACACAAAGGGAAATCTCGCCGGACCCAACCCAAATCCACCTCCTACGACCCCGCATACGGCGATGCAATCGAGAACAAGAGACCCAAAGTCAAAGAGTACACCTTTGGTTGCCATTGTTGCTGGTGTAGTTTCTAGCACACTTGTAGTGCTATCTGTTTTGAGTGTATTCTTGGTTTTCAGGACACGACGTAATTATGGACACTCAACCCGCAGAGCGACCAACAAAACCAAGTGCCCGGACTCATCCTTACCGTCCACTTTGTGTCACTGCTTTTCCCTTGGGGAGATCAAAGCCGTCACCCGAAACTTCAGCGATATTTGTATTATCGGGCGTGGTGGGTTCGGTAATGTGTATAAAGGGCACATTGATGGTGGGGCCACTCCCGTCGCAATCAAACGGCTGAAACCCGGGTCATCACAGGGGGTCCACGAATTCAAGACAGAGATCGAGATGCTCTCCCACTTACGACACCGTCATTTGGTATCGCTGATTGGATATTGTGCGGATGGAGGTGAGATGATCTTAGTGTATGACTTCATGGATCATGGGACTCTCAGCGACCATCTCTACCACAAAGATAACCCATCTCTTTCCTGGGAGCAACGACTTGAGATCTGTATCGGGACAGCTCGTGGGCTGCACTATCTTCACAAGGGAGCAATGTGCACCATCATTCACCGTGACGTGAAGAGCACAAACATTTTGTTGGACGAGAAATGGATGGCTAAGGTTTCAGATTTCGGGTTGTCGAAAATGGGAACCACCACCATGTCCAACGCCCACATCAGCACGGTGGTGAAGGGCAGTTTCGGATACCTAGACCCAGAATACTATCGCCGTCGACAACTAACTGTGAAATCTGATGTGTACTCATTCGGTGTAGTATTATGCGAGGTATTGTGTGGGAGGCCAGCTTTAATGCGTACAGTGGAGAGGGGGCAGATGAGTTTGGCTGAATGGGCCAAGACTTGTCATCGCGATAGGGCACTTAATGAAATCATTGATCCATGCTTGAAGGGCAAGATTGCAGCCCTATGCTTTAATAAATTCGTTAAGATCGCGATGAGTTGCATGCATGATAATGGGATTGAACGACCGTCCATGGATGACGTTGTGACGGGGCTCGAGTTTGCTTTAGAGCTTCAACAGAGTGCTGAGGATGATATGGACTTCAATATTATTGAAACCAATATTGAAGATGAGGTTCCATTCATCGAACACCAGGATGGGGTTAGTGAGCAAAGTTGTCCAACTAACCAATCCATTATAAGGATTTCCGAGACAATCTTCTCTGAGATCAACAATACATATGGGAGATGACCGATGATCAACAACGCTTTTATTGAAATGAGAACAATCGGGCTACAATATCATGGCATGGCCTGTACAAATTTGCATACGATCAATATGTGACTTAGAAGTTGTGAGTGCATTAAGATCCTAACACTATTTGTGGTTTTGTTATTGTCAAAAACTTATTCCTCATTTTTTTTCTTTTTACAATATCATAGCGTAATAGATTCCTTTTCCTTGGACTTGTTAGAAATTACATATTTAGTTGAATATGAAATGAACTTCAATTTTCTTAGGGTGGTCAGATTTTCAATTTTCTCTTTTGATTAAATATACGGTTAATTACATTTTACACCCTTGTGGGTTGGTTAAAAAAGTATTAACCATTATGTGCAATTTTATATGATAACGTATCTCATGAAAACTTAATCCTGCTACTTCAACTCCTGACCCCATACCAATCCAACCTTACTTACCAAACATGACCGAATGCATATGCTTGTATCTTATCAAAACGCACCATCCTTTTGGTTCCCAAATGTTAAAAACATGACATAAAATGTAAACAAAAATAAAACATTGATCTTACTAAAGTGCATCAATTGGGTTGGCATTCTCCTATATATGTAGAAATAGCATTCTTGTATCATATGCACGTGCTTTTCCGTTTCTCTTTCGTATACAATACAAGTGCTTAATTGGTACTTTGCAGTGAATGACCTACTAAAAGCATCTTCAACAACCTCTTCAACAGCTTTGGAATTCTAAATTCCATGAAATTAAACTTTCTTGCAATTGGTTATACAAAACATTAAATGTATTTGTATGATAGTTTGTGACATTATTTAAAGTGAGCATCGTTATTAACAAGTAAAATAATCTAAGTTAGAATATGCGTAGTCTTGTCTTCTCAATCCTCCATTTTCAGTGGCCAAATGAACCATACTGTGCCCATAAGCGTTAACTGATGAAAACAGGGCATCAACATATGACAAATGTTAGAATTGATAGTGATCATCATTGGGTATCAACATGATAATGGGATTGAACGGCAGTCGATGACTGACGTTGTGAGGGAGCTTGAACCGGATCGGAGATGATCGATGAGCAACAACATTTTTAATGAAAGTAAAATAAGCTAGCCACAATTAATGGGATGATTATGTATGATGACTTATGTGAGTCGGCCTAATCAACCACTTAAGTATATTAATTTTGTTTAAACTCTTACTCTATCTATAATAGGAGAGGTAGTGTTAAGGTTTGTTCAATATAAAAGAATCGGTCACTCCTCTCATAATACACGAGTTCTATAGCGTGCTTGACCTATTCATAGATCATTCCCATAGTTGCCATGTCTTCATTGGTCATCTCGAGATTGGCTCCGCCGTAGCTGGGTCACCCATCCACTTTAGGCCCCCATCCCTGCCCTCACGGTTTTGTTTCTGGGAGCTCACGAGCAACTTCCCAGTGAGTCACCCATCCTGGGATTGCTCTAGCCCCAACTCGCTTAACTTCAGAGTTCCAATGACTCTGAAGCTAGTAAGCTCCCAAAATGCCTCGTGCTAAATAGAGACGGGCATGTACATATAAGGTACATCACCTCATCTCCGTTGGTTGATGTGAGATGTTACAATCCACCCCCCTTAGGGGCCTGACGTCCTCGTCGGAACATTTGCATCACACGACAGAGTGGCTCTGATACTGAATTGTCACATCCCAGGATCGGCTCCGTCGTAGCACAATATTCTCTGCCCTCACGGTTTTGTTTCTGGGAGCTCACAAGCAACTTCCCAGTGGGTCACCCATCTTGAGATTGCTCTAGCCCAAGTCGCTTAACTTCGGAGTTCTAATGACTCCGAAGCTAGTGAGCTCACAAAAGGTCTCGTGCTAGATGGAGGCGGGCATGTACATATAAGGTACATCACCTCCTCTCCGTTGGTCGATGTGGGATGTTACATTAATGTTTTTTTTTAAAGTATTAAAAGAAATTATGTTTGTTATACATAAACTTGATCTGTTTAAAATTCTTTTGGACCAATTGAATAAACTAACAGAGTGGCTTACTTGATGTTATTATGAAAGTATTATGAAAGAATTCTTTTGGACCCCCTCTAACATCAATTCATGGATGTGCCACTGACAACAAGGAAAGTAATTTGAACTCAAGCATAGAGTAGGAAGCAAATATGCTCTAGCCAACTTGAATACGTTTGCAATGCATTATCTCTTTAGCAAAGTGCTTTTGCACTCCACAACTTCCAACTATTGCAAATTGGTTGTGGGGTTGGAATTTTGAACCAATTGATAATGAAGGTTAGTAATCCAACCCCTTATGAGCCCTCACAAAATTATTGATTTAACTTTCCGATATAAGGTAATTCTTCATATCCTCACACATGCTTCATGTGTGGTGAATTGGAGTGGGGAAGGGAGGCTGTCACCAATGGGGCGGATGGCTGCTAGGGATTTAATTGCTTCTGGCAAATAGATCAATTTGAACAAAATCAGCATTTGTTATATAGTTGAATATGAATTGAACTTAAATTTTCTTAGGGCAGTTAGATTTTCAGCTTTAAAAAAAATATATATATTTTTTTTAATTAAACTAGAATTTTGATTTTTGTCCTTTGAATAAATATATGATTAATTATATTTGGCTGTGCACTAATTTGGAGTTCAAATTATCAACCATTGTGTGCAATTTTGTAAGCTAACTTATTCTTATTAATCTTAACTTGCGATTTTAGGTCAACAAAAATAAAAGTTTGAAATGAGTGCATCAATTGGGGTTATATATATGGGAATACCCTCCTTGTGGATCTGTATGCAAATGCTTTTCTGTTTCTTTGTCATACACAAGTGCTTAATTGGTACTTTGCAAACAGATTAATTTGGACAAGATCATGCCTCAAGAATACCAACTAGGCACACTTTGGATGGGCCCATGCTTGAAAATAAAACAACATGTGCATTACAGTCCCCAGTCTGTTCTCTTATTATCTTGTACAAATTGTAATCCAAAGACTTGTTAATTCTTCAAGTCCACGACCAACCCAAAAACGAAGTTAAGTTGTTATCAAAGTCTCTATTAAATTGATTGATGTTGATCAAGAATCTTGAATTTAGAGTAGATGCAACCAAAAGCTTGACTTGGAAAAGTCTTTGATGATCATATGTGTATGTCCCCACTTGTGCAATAGAAATTCCAATCAGAGATCCACACACCCACACATTAAATATCTTTAACTCTCCCTATGTATATATATATACATGTATCATGAACATGTATATAATAACCCAAGCATCAAACAAACACCTTGATACAATTACCATGATGAAACTGTTGGCGAGTCCTTACTTAGTTAGGATTTGGGTTCCTTACTATGTTAGGACTTTGGTTAATTACCCATTTATCTAGTCCTATTATAATTGAGATTTATTTCATCTTATAATTTATATTTATTTTCTATTGTAATTTGGATTTATTTCCTATTTTATTTAGGATTGTACTCTTGTATAAATACCTCCATATTGGAGAAGAATAAAAATATGAGCGTATCTGAGCATAATTGAATATTTTGCCCTACTTTGTTTGACATGGTATCAGAGCCAGGTTTTCTTGTGACCTGTGTTTGCGGTCTCCTTGAGAGTCGTTGCTAATCCTTGAGATCCTCTGACAAATTGAGAGTCGTTGGCGTTCCTCATTCCTAACCCATCATGGGTCTTCACCTTGCTGTAAATCCTCGTTTCTCGTTTCCTTCATAATCAACATATATTTCTTCTGCCTTAGCCATAGCCGCACCTTTCTGCAAGTTTACCCTTGTCTCTGTCCTTACCGTGTTTATGTTGAGTCATTACCTTTCTTTTTATCTACCTATGCTTGCTGCTGCCCTTTTTCTCTTACTCTTCATCTATCTATGAGCTTGCTTTCTATTAAAATCAGATTGAACCCATGTTAGTTTCAGTCTCTTGCGCTCACAACTAAGCCTCTCTTTTAAATGTATACCATATGGGCAACACGCCCCTTGGCCATTGATTACCTGATCTCTTTCCTCTGTGAGCCTTGTCACTGCTCACCAAGCCATCTCAAACCTCCGCAACCCTCGTCACTGCTCGCCGAGCCTTCTCCTAGCTGGCCTTTGTCTCTCTCTGTACTGCCGAGCTATACTGCCGTTGTTCCCTTTGCACCACCGCTCTGGTCCTCTCTTTCTGTGCACGCCTATATGGCCTTTTTTCCCATTTGATAATGTGTTTCACTTCCTGACCAGAAACATCTGTGTTTTCTTACTCTCTATTTATTTGGGTGTTACTTTCTCCAAATCTCGACTCTCATACATCTTTGGATTTGAGAGGGAGTGACACTGCTGCTCATCTATTCCGCTGCAATTCAGCTACATATGTCATGGCTGATTCTTCTACATCTAAGCGTCAGTCCACTTCTGTTTTTTAAGTACCACTTTTCTTATGGTTCTGACAGCCTCTTCTCTTCAGGGGGAGAGATGGAGTGAAGAAAAATTGTCTATGTTGTTGCTACTGCCACAGTTGTTTGCCTAGGGGGAGTGAAGATAAGTTGTCTCTGCAATAATGGAAGTATTTATCATTGTTATTGCTGCTGACTGCTATGTCCTTTGCTGGTGTTCAATACCGTTGCTCATACCTGTTGGGTCTCTTGCTGGGGATAATCCCAGTGTCGTTGCTCATATCTATTATATCTCTTGTTAGGGACAATGTTATTGCTCCTGCCTATTATGACTCTCACTGGGGACAGTGTTGATTACTGTTAATGATGCATGTTATGAAACGACCCGACCCAAATTCCACTTTGAGATCCGGATCGAATCCTGTTTAAAACTGACACCTGATAACTATGGGTCGTAACTGACCAAAATGCCCTGAAAATAGTAACATAAACCCTAAGCCCCTAACTTGTGGCTACGCCTGATAACTGTAGGCTGCCTACGTACCCTTACTGAGGGATCAAGCCACACGTAGTTCTTTCCTCTGTTCCTGACCTGTAACTAAACTGTTTACAGTAAAACTGCTCTAGGGCTGATCATTCTGGAGTATCCAGGACTCTGTTTTACGATCCGTCAACTACTATACGATCCTGGGAAAGTCTAGATTAACATACTTGGAATTAACTACGATCTAACGGTTCAAACGTATTGAACCCGGAAATCGTATAGTAGGCGAGACCCATTCGGGGTTCAAACGATATCCGAATTAAGATCC